GCGACAAGCGGCAAACGGTGTTGGATAGCCCCATCAGGGAACTACCTTGTGACCCGATTTCGTTGACCTAGGTCAAACCGATGACGTCACAGGTCACGTCAAATGTCGAATTTTCACCGTTTACCTACAGGCATTTCAAGAAATGCGTTGTAAAATCGAGGTAAAATGCATTTCATTGAAAATCATCGATGGGGAAATGTTCGTCAAACACATATTTTGCTACTTGAAGTCACTGATACCAGGTCAGGTCACAGAGGTCAGGTCAGTGAGGGTCACAATATGAAAATATCATGTGATGCATGTTTTATGGTCCATTTTATATGCCAAATACGATTATGTATGTCAGGCAGCCTTTGGGGTCAGTTAAGATTATGTTCCGGTGAAGGTCAGGTCAAGGTCAGGTCAAATTAGGTCAAATTTTAAAGTTGATATTTTTGCATTAAATGGGTATCGATTCGATGCAGCTCGTCACGAGGAGTTCAATGGTAATTTTTGTTTTGCGCTACGTGATCTAGAACTGCTAAAAATTGAGTTTAAAATATGACGTCATCAATTTTGAACAGTTTTTTCGCTATAACTTGGCCCAAAAAAAAGGAAGAATCAATCTAAAATTTGGTATGTATATAGAAAAGCGCAGGGACTATCACATATATTCCGTTTTTTGAAATTCGGAAAAAAGGATTTTTTTCTTTTAAAATCCCAGAATTTTGAAAATCTAAGATAGCAGTTTTGTAGCGCTATTTTTTGTCTACATGACCGTGTAAAGAACTTTGAAATTGCTTGGTAATTGTAGCTTTTGTGAGCGTTTAAAGATTTCATGTTTTTTGCTCATTTTTGCTGGAACATGACCTCAGTTTGACCTCAATAACTCCTGACCTAATGTGACCTAAGACTTGAAATTTGGTGTGAAGGTGTCAAATTGATGCCCCGAAAGGTAATTTGGCGGCGCCGCGCGCCTCCGTTTTCTTGCTATTCAGGAAAAACCAAAGGGGGGGGGGCAAATTGCCCCCCCCCCCCCAGCAGGGCAAAGGCTAAATTGAGAAACATACCTACAGGAAATGTTAATTTTCGATGTTTCCGCTTACTTTGGAAACCCTCTTATTAGGGGTGATAAAATGAGCCCCTTCCTCGTTTTTTCCTGAATAACTCGCGTAAATAGTGGCGGATAGCAGCGAAGCTTTCACGTTTTGGAAATGTAGTGCAGCAGAAAAGAAAACTTTGTTGTGAAACGACCTCCAACCTCAGCAGGTCACGGTAAACCCTCACCCCGTTCGGGGGTGGGCAATATAGCGCCCCTGTGTATTTTCCTGAATAGCAAGAAAACGGCGACGCGCAGCCCCGCCAAATTTTCAGTAGCTTGCTGGTAATCAATTTGACACCTTCACATAAAATCTCAAGTCTTAGGTTACCTTAGGTCAGGAGTTATTGAGGTCAAACTGAGGTCATGTTCGAGCAAAAATGAGCAAAAAAAAAACATGAAATCTTGAAACGCTCTCATAAAAGCTACAGTTAACAAGGAATTTCAAAAGCTCTCTACCTAGTCGTGTAAAGGAAAGACGGCGCTACAAAACTGCAATATGGAATTTTCAAACTTTTGAGATTTTGACCCCCAAATAAAAAATTGGTCTGGTATAAAATAGCAAAAACAAAAACAAAAGTTCTTCGAATTAAAAATGGAATATATATATATATATTAGTCCCTGCTTTCTTCGATCTACATAACAAATTGTAGATCAATATCTCCTTTATTGACCAAGTTTTAGCGAAAAAAACAGTTCAAAATTGATTACGTCAATTTTAACTCAATTTTTAGCAATTCTAGACCACGTAGCGCAAAACAAAGACCACTATTAGCCTTCCCGTGACGAGCTGCATCGAATCGATACCCATTTCAAGCCAAAAAGTATTTCCTCGTTGGGGCAATCCAACACCGCTTGCTGCTTGTCGCTATTTTTCGTGGTTCTCGAAATCTTGGGGGGGGGGGGCAAAATAATTCTCCCTCCCCCCCCCCCCAATGGGACCTATGCTTGGTAGACCCCGACGGGGCGCGGGTTAAATGACAGAACTGTTCCCAAGAAATAGCATTACAGTCGTCTCCCGGCCTCAATGGTAAGCAGCTAAAACTTTGAACGACTACCTATGGATCGGCACGCTGCCGGCTCACTCCGCCCGCTGGCTACGGGTGGCCTTGACCGTCCAATGCCGATTGGCCAACGGCCGAGGTCGTGGGCTGGTCAGCACGCAGAGAGGACGGAACGCGGTACTGCACATTGTGAGTGACCTCTGACCTTTCCCCGTCCCCTGACCGCATGCCGTGTCGCCGGCCCAGACGATAGAAACCGGTTCTAGCCTCTACGCAGGCTGCCACTCTGACCCTTCCCTCCCCACTTTACTATGTGTCGTAGTACGCACTCGCGAGTAACTGGGCGGAGCAAATGGTCACCGATACAGAGGCGGAACCGGTTGCCCTCCCGCTCGCCGAGCGACCTACCGCTAAAACCCGCGAGACCTGTACCATGCTATCAGTATCGACTGAGACTCAGATAGACTCAGAACGACTCAGGCAGACTCAAACTGACTCAGACCGACTCAACCGACTCAAATAGATTCCGATCGACTCAGACCGACCCAAACTGACTCAGACCGACTCAACCGACTCAAATAGATTCCGATCGACTCAGACCGACTCAGAACGACTCAAACAGACTCAGACCGACTCAATCGACTCAAATCGATTCCGATCGACTCCGACAGACTCAGAACGACTCAGGCAGACTCAAACTGACTCAGACCGACTCAACCGACTCAAATCGATTCCGATCGACTCAGACCGACTCAGAACGACTCAAACTGACTCAGACCGACTCAACCGTCTCAAATCGATTCCGATCGACGCAGACAGACTCAGAACGACTCCGGCAAACTCAAACCGACTCAGGCAGACTCAAACTGACTCGATTTGAGTCGGTTGAGTCGGTTTGAATCCGCCTGAGTCTGTCTGAGTCGTTCTGAGTCGTTCTGAGTCTTTCTGAGTCGCTCGGAATCGATCTGAGTCTGCCTGAGTCGGTTTGAGTCTGCCTGAGTCTATCTGAATCGGCCCGAGTCTGCCTGAGTCGTTCTGAGTCTGTCTGAGTCGCTCGGAATCGAGTTTTGTCGGTTGAGTCGGTCTGAGTCAGTTTGAGTCGTTCTGAGTCGGACGAGTCAGTTTGAGTCTGCTTGAGTCGGTTTGAGTCTGTCTGAGTCGTTCTGAGTCTGTCTGAGTCTGCCTGAGTCATTCGGAGTCTGCCTGAGTCGCTCGGAATCGATTTGATTCGGTTTGAGTCCACCTGAGTCGTTCTGAGTCGGTCTGAGTCGATCGGAATCAATTTGAGTCGGTTGAGTCAATCTGAGTCGGTTTGAGTCGGTCTGAGTCGGTTTGAGTCGGTCTGAGTAGTTTGAGTCGTTCTGAGTCGGTCGAGTCAGTTTGAGCCTGCCTGAGTCGGTTTGAGTCTGCCTAAGTCGTTCTGAGTCTGTCTGAGTCTGCCTGAGTCATTCTGAGTCTGCCTGAGTCGCTCGGAATCGTTTTGAGTCCGTTTGAGTCTGCCTGAGTCGTTCTGAATCGGTCTGAGTCGATCGGAATCGATTTGAGTCGGTTTAAGCGGTCTGAGTCAGTTTGAGTCGGTCTGAGTCAGTTTGAGTGGGTCTGAGTCAGTTTGAGTCGGTCGAGTCAGTTTGAGTCTGCCTGAGTCGGTTTGAGTCTGCCTGAGTTGTTCTGAGTCTGTCTGAGTCGATCGGAATCGATAGGAATCTATTATTAGAGTCGGTTGAGTCGTTCTGAGTCGATTGGAATCGATTTGAGTCGATTGAGTCGGTCTGAGTCAGTTTGGGTCGTTCTGAGTCGATCTGAGTCGATCAGAATCTATTTGAGTCGGTTGAGTCGGTCTAAGTCAGTTTGAGTCTGCCTGAGTCGTTCTGAGTCTATCTGAGTCTCAGTTGATACTGATAGCGTGGTACGTTCTCTTACCCAGTGACGTCACAGCATGCTACGGCTTGGCACGGTGGCCCAATACTGCCTAATGCAGGAAACCTTAAAGGAAATAGTTCACTTTTAACATGGGGTTTGGAACTGGAATAGCAGTTTTGTTGCTTGCGCTGAGACTAGCACAAATGAGAAGCTTTTACGGCCCAACGATCACCCTAGACGAAGATATTCCATTTTTCGTTCCGAAAAGAGTGCCTTGCAGAGGAATGCGTGCCTTGCTGAGGAATGCAGTCACGTCATCGTCAGCCAATCAGAATGCTGCTTACAGCCGATGGGTTTGTCCTACGCAATATGATTGGTCAACGCGTAATAAGCTTCCGCGTCAAACATTATTTTATATAGAATATAGTTCTTCTTATACTAAAATATAGAAAAGAATCCTTTTTACAAAAACGTTTTGTTTTAGTTTCTGATCATTTTGAGCATAAAAAAACATAAATCCATAGCAAAATACTAATTTCAGGAAAGTGAACTATTTCCTTTAACCTTGAACGAAAACGCTACCGGTGACGCCAGGGTTACCGATACCGTAGAATCACGTATAACCTTTTTTGTTGTCTTGATTCGTTTAAAAATGAAGATGTTAGAGACGTTTGAAATTTTGCCATTTTTTTAGGCGAAAATGGCAAAACCGCGACTCTGAGTGTGTTCTGAAAAGCTAAACGCTGGACGGGATTAACCCGCCCACTGCCCAGAGGTTTAGGTTTAGGTTTAGGTTTATGTAGTGGGTTAGGTTTAGACACAGTCTATTCAGTACCCACATCATACTGGTTTGGGACAAGATACCTTAAACACTGTGGGGATCAGAAAGCGGCCTCATTTCCAGCACGGTCTGATTCGCTGGCTCATGTCCTCTCGCCCCCAAATCCTGCAACCAAACCTTTATGTAAGCTTCTCTTACAATAACCTGAAGTTATTGCTTTAATATTCGCACTAACTTGCTAATTCTGGTAAATTTCGGACAGGGTTGTGAGCTTACCTGTATGTACCTAACTTGATTATCTTGTCACTACAACTAAGAAAGTTAACTAGCTTTATTTGTTGATAATAATGGCTTTGTCACTTCAAGCACAAGGTAAAAAATCTTCTCAAATACCGGGGTTACATGAGCGATCCGTTCCAAATACGCACTACGCTAATGCGCATCAGCTCCCCACAAACGGATCTACGGCACCGGTTACATGAGACTAATTCGTTTTATCTACGTCAAACGGATCTTGTTTGGCTCACCCGGGCTGACTCCTCGACGGCCGGTAATTCGCATCACAAACGGAATAGGATTAGCGTACAGTCATGGCGCAGTTGCGGCATTTACCGGGACGACTGAGCTAAATTTTAAATAATTATATCATTTGATAGGCTTAAAAACATTTAAAATTAACATGAAATCAAAAAATGAAAACAAAGTTTTCTTGTTTTAAGTCAGTGGGCACTGATTCGCCATGCAGCGACAGCAGGGTGGTAAGAAAAAATTATCTATCAAAATATTTCATTCATTTTATTTCACATGCAAAGACTAAACCAAAATACCAACATTTTTTTGTTATTTTCTACGAGGCAGCCAATAAAAAAAAATGCTTAGTATTTTGCATTTTGACGCTTCCAGTCAGCAAAGAATAGTTCTTGTGAAATACGGCCCGAATGGTGTGCCTCGGACGTTTCGGTTACATGAGCGATCCGTTCCAAATACGCACTATCGCTAATTCGCATCAGCTCCCCAAGAACGCATTCAGTGCACCGACTACATGAGCAAATTCGTATCAGTGACGTTAAACGGATCTAGTTTGGCTCTCGGCCCGATGCGCATTACAAACGGAATAGCATACAAATGTGGCGCACTTCCGTAGCAATAGAGGTGACTAAATTAAAAATTTATCATCTTATGTCTTTTTTGCATTTAATCTGCTCAAAACATTCTCAATTAACTTAACAAAAAAAGTTGAACATAAAGTTGTCTTGCTTTGACTCATTGGGCAATTGCCTCTCTTGATTCGTCTGTAGTGCTGTCAGAAAAATGTTTCAACTGAAAGTACTTTGATATTTTCTTTTTGGTTTTCACTATATTTATTGACAAAATACCGACATATTTTTTTAATTATTATTTCAAAAGAAGCAAATGAAAAAAATACCTATTATTTTGCATTTTAATGTTTCTTTTTGGAAAGAAATAGTTCCTGTAATACGTATCTTGGTCCTATTCGCTTCTAAGCCTCTTTCTCAGCGGATTTTGTTTGGACCGCCGATTCGTATTAGCAGGTGGATACATGAGTCGGTAGTACGCTCCTGATTCGCATTAGCGGTGAATCCGATCGTGATACGTATTTGCTTTGCTCATGTAACCGCGGATCGGATCGCCGATTCGTACTAGCAGGTGGCTACATGAGTCGGTAATGCGTTCCTAATTCGAATTAGCGGCTAAATACGTATTTACTGTGCTCATGTAACCCCGATAAAACTAAGGGTTGGATAATCGCATGGTTGTGCTCACAAATAGCTCAGCTGGCCCTCAACAGCAAAGCCTGACACTCGCGGCGCCCACATGTGACCAACAGTTTGCATGACTCTTTAGTGCCCTGGTTTGCATGTGGCATTCCAAGCTTATTGTAACAAGTGCGTCATCCATGTATTAAAAATAAATTATTTTCCGATCAGTTTGTTTTGGCCAAGTTTTGGCAATTTAAGGTAGAAAACGTTAAAAACGATGCCAATACAAACCTTATTTGTTTATCATGCAAAAATATGTATTCACAAACCTGAATATAATTCGAAATATTGAAATTACATTGTTGTTGTTCTCCTTTTCAATTATGTGACGTCACTAAAAAGGATGCTGATTCTGAAACTAAAAAGAGTAAAATCAGCAGCCTTGTCATACTTCATGTTCAATTGTACATGCCACTCTGCAAAGGTGCTGCACAAAATATGACGTATTTGTCAAATCTCCAAATCCATTTGCTTACGCCTGCTTTTTTGTTCCACCGTCAGCAGCGTTTTTGGCTGTTTGAACACAAATCACGAACAATTCCTTATGCCTCTTTTATATGAAGCAGCGATGCCATTCCTTGGGATTTGTCCCAAGATCTTGGGATTTGAACATTAACATTGGGATCTTGTGATTTGCACTGCATATCTTGGGATCTGGCAGAAGCTGATTTCACTTTGTCTTCTCATGCTGTCGAATGCTTTTCCTTGGTCGATAATAGATTTAGGATGGATTTGCCTCACGGACGGTTAATCAAACATTGAAGTAACGGACGAAGCTTGCGATGTTTCTAGCAGGCATTATCTTACCGAGATCGCAGGATTATTTTTGTACCATTACTGTTATAGGTATAGTAGCAGCTTTCAGTCGCTTTTCGCAACTGGCGCTCATTTGTTTAATTTCCAACTACCGATCAACGGGGATGGGTGGTTTAGCGGCATGATGTTGGGTGGCTATGAAAAGCTTTTACAAATATTATGCCTGAAAAATATTTCAGAAAGCGGCTCCCGCACAAAGCGTTTCATTTTACGGTTTTGCTCTATGGAGGCTTATCCGTTGACCGCGAACCAAAATAAGGGCAATTTGTCTTTGACCTCGGAAAAGTGTCTGGTCACCTGACCTCTGGGCTCTGCTGGACCAAAAATAATCAAACTAGCGTAACCTTGCGACCTTCACAACATTGCTGACGGCTTGTAACTATATAGTCCAGGGGACGAGTTAGGTCCTCGTTTAGACCCCCTCGCCATCGTCGGCTTGAAAATGCATGGGCCCCAGCGGGCACTGGCTTATGCGCAGATTCACAGCATAGGCTTTTCGATTTCGGGATTCACATAAGCTTTTAACCCTCGCCCGCACATGGGGGGGGGGGTGGTTGCCACCCCCCCCCAGGTAGTGTTTCTGCTCTGCACTCGACATTTTAGAGCTAGAAGGCTGATTTTTCGTATAGCTGCTCCTCTATCCTTTCTTGATGTCCACTGAAAATTTCAAGTTTCTGTGATTTTTGGTTTCGGAGATATGACCTTGTTTGTCAGGTCATGTCATGACCCAAATGGCCAATTCTCAACATCTTGCGTTTGCTATGGGCCTTGTGAGCTTTTGACACCTTGATTTTGGCCTTTTTTGCCAGTCTTACCTCCCACCTATCATGGAACATGTTGTTCGACGATGTACAGGTGTCAAGGTCAGGGTCAAGGTCAACCTAGGTCATCTAAGATAATTGCGTTTTAGGCAAGCTGAATTTACTTTTTGTGAATTTTTTTGACTGCATTTTTGGTAAAAGCTTCTCAGATCATGATTTCATGTAATATGGACCGTGGACACATAAACAATCGGTGCACACATCAGTATACACACAGACACACACAGACATACAAACACATATAATTGACCTTGACCTAGCTTGACCTGAAATGACCTCAGCAGCAAAAATCTGGTCGGGTAGTGTGACAAAGAGGTTCTAGCTGGCCTGGCACCAGAAAACGGCATCGTCATCGGTATATGATAAGCAGCGCACTTGATATCCAACGGTGACCCAAAACAGCAACATTTTTTAGTTTGACCTGACCTGGAAGGTCAATGACTGACCTGAGAAGGTAAAACTGGGTATCGTTGGATTCGTCTCTTAGCAAAGAATCTTTTTGGTCTTTACCGCTAAGCTCTAGGGGAAAGTGGGGTATGACGGGCATGTTAGTTTTGCGGGTCTGTACCTCTGAAGTCTTTTCTTCGATTGCTTCACCAATTTAGCACAACCATCTTCAGGCATTTTTCTTTCAGTGCCCCTTTGACACCTAAGGTCTAAATCCAATACTTTTCAATTGAGAGTGTTTTTAGCAAGACCCTGCAAAAACCCGTCTTACCCCACCGGGGAGGGTAAGACGGGCACTGATGTTGGGGCAAGACGGGCACAACGTTAGTTTGAACTTCTTTACATATTTACTGCCGAATAATTATGCTAATACATCTTACACATCTGGCTTTTGATCTTACAGTCAATATTGTAAGGTTCGTAGCATCGCACGGCTACTTATAGGCGTAATGGTATTGATCGATGTAATGAAAAAATTAAACAAATTCAAAGCTGTCTATTTAAATAATTTCGATGGAAATGCGTTGCAAATGATGTAGAACAGCGTAAGTTAGCTTAAAATAACAATATCAGATGGTTTGCATTCCTTTCATCATTGTTGCCCGTCTTACCCCATTCGGCTGCCAATAAGGATATCACACCGCCTCCGGGCACCAAATTAAAGGATTCATTCGCCAGCATACACATTTGGATGACACCCTAAGACGAAACTCTCATCAAATTTCCAAAACAAAATATGAAACAGCGAGGTCAGAAAACACTACGAAACACGATAGTTCTGCTTAGAGTGCAAGGCACGTTTTTAGCTTTTCCACAATTTTTCAAAAACTATTTAAGATGCGTACCTCTGCCTTCACCTCACAGCAAAGAACCACACGGCCGATTACCAACCACAACAAGAGGTTGCTAGCGCCAACGGTTTGGGCTAGAGGGCCGGTGCCCGTCTTTCCTACCCCGCCCGTCTTACCCCACTTTCCCCTATCTCCAACAGGAACGAAATGGCCCGGGGGGGCAACCCCCCCCCATGTGCGTTCTAGGATGGGAAAATGGCATGTGCGGGCGAGGGTTAAGAGCTTGTTTTGGAGCCCATATTTCAAAACTCAGTGGTGGAAAACACTTAAAATCAGCCTGACCTCACCTAACCCTAGCTTCTCCAAATGTGTCACGAGAAAAATTTCGAAATAAATCCAAAATGCCACAGACTTCGTTTCCAAGAAGTTCTAACAGATTCGGACTTTGTGTTTTGGGTCCTTGACCCACCATTGACGGTCGACGAATGACCTGACCATAATATCAGATACCACCGGCTTCATGTTGTCTAGGCCAGCATCTTCATTTTTCGTGAATCTCTTATACTCGGTCAGGAACCGATCAGCTGTAGGAGTCCGATCGCCCCCCTCCCCCTCCCCTCCCCCGGTCCCTCCCCGGTACAGGTCTCGCGGGTTTTAGCGGTAGGTTTTGCACCTAGAAAAATGAGTGTACTTCAGGCTATATCTTCGTTGTCTGAAGCTTTTAAGTGTTGAAGATGCTATCGATTTGTTGGGTAACAAACCGGCCATGATCGTGTAAAATGGCTTCATCGTAGATCGATTAGTTTCTGAGATATAACCGGAAATGTAAAAGTGCAAAACCTACCGCTTAATCTCGCTAGAGCCGTACATTAGCTGCTGTAAATACACCAATAAGGACAAGGGTGGACCCGAAGAAGAGAAAGTTGAATACTAAACACACTAATATGTCCAAAATAAGCTATGGATTTACTTGGGGTACTCCTAAGGATATGCGATGGATGAGTAGTCTTGTGATTCGAGACGAGAATCTTGGGAAATTCTGGTCGAGATCTTGGGATGGAGCAAAAATGTGGATGGCATCACTGATATGAAGCTCTTTTATATGGGCCCTGTTTCACCGGTGATAGCAGCACGTTACTATCAAATTGCGCGAGCTGACGTAATGTGATGACGTCATACTGCTGACGTAAGGGGCAATTCTGGCGCACGATTGCCGCAATATTGTTTTACGTCATCAGCTAAATGTTCGAAGTTAATGTCAAAATTTTTCCTAAACCCAACTTCTTTTAAATACATCATATTGAAAAAATATATATCAAAAATATATATACTATCATGACTGCGTAAACTCTTACTTTAAGGCTCATACGTCACTTAATGCCGCCGCCAAGGTCGCGGCAATCGTGCGCCGGAACTACCCATTACGACAACAGTATGGCGTCACGACATGACCAAGGCCCTATATACCAGGGCCCTGTTTCACCGGTGATAGCAGCAAGCTACTATCAAATTGCGCGAGCTGACGTAATGTGATGACGTCATACTGCTGACGTAAGGGGCAATTCTGGCGCACGATTGCCGCAATATTGTTTTACGTCATCAGCTAAATGTTCGAAGTTAATGTCAAAATTTTTCCTAAACCCAACTTCTTTTAAATACATCATATTGAAAAAATATATATCAAAAATATATTTACTATCATGACTGCGTAAACTCTTACTTTTAGGCTCATACGTCACTTAATGCCGCCGCCAAGGTCGCGGCAATCGTGCGCCGGAACTACCCATTACGACAACAGTATGGCGTCACGACATGACGTCAGCTCGCGAAACGTGATAGCAGCTTGCTGCTATCACCGGTGAAACAGGGCCCAGGTAGGGTCGTCCGGCGATTCTACCTTTTCGTGACGTCAGCTCGTGACGTCATTTGGAGTCAAGTCTCGAAGCCCCGTTCAATCCCCATGTAAATGAGCGATTTTTGAAGCACTGTAGAATGAAGTCTGCACAAGATATATCAAACCTAAGTATCTTATCTGAAAGAGCAGACAATTTTCTGCAAGTTATCTATTACGTGTTTTTCGCTAAATCTTTTGCTTTTTTCACAAAAGCGTAAAATGTCCCCCCATGTCTCCGCAGCCTCCCTGCCGCCGGCCGCCGCGCGGTCGCGGTAGTGTAGTGGTTAGCGTGCCCGCGCAGTATTCCAAAGGTCCCGAGTTCGAATCTACGCGGTGCGGAACTTTAATAGCAATTCCAAGCTGAATATGCGCACGTCCATATTATATTAATATTAGTATAGCTAAACTGTCACGAAGCTATCCATATAAATTGACTTCACCCAAAATATTGGCAAGATTCTATTAAAATATAAATTCAAATATGGCGGCTTGGACTGCCGCGTGCGTTAGGCTCCGCCCATAGCTCCGCCCACATGCGTGACGTCATTCGTGTTAGTGGACACACGCGGAGATAGGGGACGACATGGGCCTGGACATGACGTCAGCTCGCGAAACGTGATAGCAGCTTGCTGCTATCACCGGTGAAACAGGGCCATGAAGCCTAGCTGAACTAGGGCTTTAAGATTGGTAATTATTTTCCATCCCCGTATTTCAATTTCTCGAGAGACCTGCTGCAATTGGTAAGACTATCGCAATGGTAAATTTGGGGATTGGGGTGGATGTTTTTTTCCGGATGAGGGATGAGGAATATTTTTGTCAATTTATTGGCGAATTTGCCCTTTTTCACTCTAGACTCTAAATTGAATATAAACACTCCATATTGTCACAAATCCAGACTGGAAAAATCAATGTATCAGTCTTCATGTCAGGCATAGTGGTTGAATTCCATCAAAATTTATATGCAGCGTTCGGGTTATTTATGTAGGTACGACAGTATTTAAGTGCTCAGGTCAAGGTGGACAAAGAAATTTTGGCTCCATTGGACGGTTTACTTTGATTTAGTTTTAACTTTTTAACAATTTGATCTTTTAAGGTGGAAGGGTCCCACACCCTGCTTAGTGTGTACCTATGTGTGTGTGTGTGTGTGTGCATGTGTGTGGAGGGGGGCCGAGGGGGGTGCTTGGACACCCGGCCCTCCATTTTTTGTGAATGTCTAAAAAAAAAATGGTAGCTCTGAGCACCAACATTTTTTTGTTCACCTTGGGCCTGTTCCAGCGCCTCCAGAGACCAGAAACCTCCAGAAAGCCCTAGAATTATCCAGAGATTGTTCCAGCACCTCCAGAAAGCTCCAGAAAGCTCTCCCCAAAGCTCCAGAAACCTCCAGTAGCCTCCAGCAAAGGTATTCAGCTTGACGATAAGGGTAAAAAACAACGATATGGGTCAGCGTATGTGCAAGATGCCCTTCCCCGGTCAGTTCCTGACCTTGACCCTAGGTGAACTGTTCAAGTTGACCTTTCAAGAGCAAATGATCGTTGATTTGACACGTCTCGATGAGAGAGACACGATGCTGGTTAAAGTAAGCTTGTGCAAGTCTTGTGCCAAAAGTTATTGCAGAAAAAAAAACATTTTCGCAAAACGTGTACCTACCTACCTGTTTTGGCAGTTTGTGCAAAATGTATGCTAAACTGTTGACCTTAGCTCGAAATATGAGGATAGTTACAGAAAGATCATTAAAAGCTATCGAATGTACGTTCCGCGGTACTTTAGCTCTATCCGTTCCTGAGCTATGCACCGCTTTGTTGAAAGCTTCCGAAATAGACGAAATTTGAACTTTGATGGCCTCTGGTCACCTGACCTTTGACCTGACCAAAAAACATGACTGAAGTAATTTCGTTTTTTACGCTCTTTCGAACGTCGCTTACCCCACGTATCGCTACGTGGCCCAGGAGCCTGAGTTAGAGTTGGGTGTTCGACCCCTCAGCAGGATGTGGAAATCCAAGAACCCCAGCGGGGCGTGGGTTAATCTTATATACCATAGGTAGGTACATTCTCTATTGAAACTATCGCTACTCGAAGTATCGCTATCGCTCCCTGGTATGAGAGCCCCTGGCTTTTGAGGGTTAGCCGCCTGGCCGGGGTGCGTATTCGCCAATAGTATTACACGAATCGGCCCACCAACTAGCGACATCTCTAGTGCGACGTCATAGCCAGCCGACGTGACAATCATGCATTGAGGCCAGATTTGAGTTGAGACTTTTTTTAATTGTATATGGCAATTCAACTGACAGTATGTCGTCATAGCCAAGTGGTTAGAGTCTCGGTGTGATAGGCAAAAGGTCGATGGATCGATTCCTGCTTTAGCGGTTCTTTTCTAAGAAGTCGGTTTTAGACACGCATTTTTGGCCCCTAGGCCCTAAGTTCGCACGCCAATATCGTACGCCCAATAAATCTATGACAAGTATTCATCTGATTAAGGAATAAGTTGCAAAAGAACTGCAGTTGCAGTCTGTACCTGAAATACCAATTGTGTTACGGTACTGTCGATACTGTCGATCCCCTGGTGGCAGAAATGTTTAAGTTATAGTTAACCCGCGCGGGGCTGGGGTCTCCAGCCGAACGCGCGGGGCTGGGGGGGGGGTAAATTTTACCCCCCCCCCCCTGTTATCTCCCGAACTAATGGTCCGATTTGGAAAATTCAAACGCCAATCGAAAGCTCTCATCACGAATTACTAAAAACATGTACTTAATTTAAAGTTTGAGGTCAAGGTCAAGGTCAGGTCAAGGGTACAAATTGCAAGTTTCTACAGTAGGTATCGGCCTTGCACCGTAGTTGCCGAAGAATGGAGTCATGGACTGAGACTGATCGCCCAAAACGTGTTCTTAGGCTACCAAGACAATATTCGTTGCATACAATATCATTCAGAGGTCAAGGTCAAGGTCAGGTCAGGTCAGGTCAGGTCAGGTCACCAAAAAACAAAATATAGAAAAGGGCATGTGCGACACATGTTTTATGGGTCATTTTACTCATAGAATTCAATAGGCACACTCAATAAGTGATATGGACCACCTCTGGATGAATTTCAGGTCGAGGTCAGGTCAAGGTCAGGTCAAGTGAGGTCAAATTTTGAAGTTGGTTGTTAAGGCCTAAAAAGGTGTCTATCTGATGCAGTTTTTCACGGCGAATCGAATGGTGCTATTTTTGTTTCCGTACGAGGGCTAGAACTTCCAAAGAAGTCATTTTTTCAAAAAATTTGTGTGTCGTGACGTCATAAAATTTTGAATAACTCCCACATTTTTGAACCGATTCTTCTAAATTTTGGTATGTAGGTGCACATAGACCACTTCTCTGACATATATTCCGGTTTTTTTCGATAGACTCAAAATTTTGGATTTTATAATGATTTTCCCAAAAAAGTCAGTTTTTTGAAAAAATTTAGGACAAAATCCAAAATTTTCAAAAAACCGAGATAGCCATTTGATAGACAAAGTAAAATTACGTATAACCTTTTTTTTGTTACGTCTTGATTCCTTTAAAAATGAAGATGTTAGCGGCGTTTGAACTTTTGCCGTTTTTGAGGCGAAAATGGCGAACATGACGTCACTAAAACGTCAATTTCTCAAAAATTTTCCGACGGATTTCGCTCAAATTTTCAGGGAACGTGTCAAATTGATGTAAGAAAAGGTACTGAAAGTTTGGCGGCGCTGCGCGCCGCCGTTTTTGAGATATCGCAAAAATTCGCGAGGAGGGTAAAATTTACCCCCCCCCCCAGCCCCGCGCGGGTTAAGGCATAGCTCCTATAGATGACGCCTATGACGGCTGGAAACTGATAATCTCGTCCCCTGATTACGCTAACAGCTATGCCCAACTTTTTTGTGCATGGTGATTCTTACATGAAAATTATCTAATTGCATGCTAACCAGCGTGCGATTTTTAGCTTAGTTTTCGCTACTTTTAGGTACTTTACCTTGCCATGAGTGCCACCTACTTTCAAAAGGTCAGCGCCACTCCTGTCATATCCAGCAGGAGCTGCGTGCTCGGTGCTATCACCCATTGGCAGTGAGAAATATTGATCAATGGTCATCGCCCAGCAGCACCATTTGTCTTTCCATTGGCTACATTCGCATAGTATGCACTATGCATTAGTGATGTCAATTGTCAATCACAGAAAATCAGAACACCGATACCAAACCAAATTCAAACAAAAACCATTGGAAAATACCGAAACCGAACCAATCGGTTGGACTGCAAATATTTCTCTTAGCAGGGCATATTTTAAGGCACTTACTGCGTCCCATTTTGGGACGCAGCCCCCTCGCCATGGGATGTAGCCCCTGCTCATTTGACCCACTGTGTCCCTGCCCTGTCCGGTTCCCTGACCTGTGCCCTGCTGTCTGCCCTGACCGGTACCCGGCCTTCCCTCTAAAATGTCCTGTGCCATGCCCTGCATCCTGCCGTGCCCTACTTTCTGCCTTCCTCAGTGCCCTACTCTGTTCCTTGCCCTGTGCCCTTAGTCGTAGCACGTGCCCTCTGCTCAACTTTGGGACGCAGTAAAAATTTGTTAAAATATGCCCTGTCTCTTAGGTATGCAACATATTCATTTGAAGAATGCTTACCTCTGATTTCTTAGGTGCACGCCGTTGCAAATGTATCAAAAAAAACGCACAATGACAGATAACACGAAAATTGATGTCGCCGAGTGGATTCGAACCACCTGCATCCATATCACCATTCCGATACTCCAACCACTGCGCCACGGCGGCAACACGTACGACGGAGTTTAAATGTCGTTAAGTTAAAACTTAGCTTCAATAGACTCCACCAAGGGCGAGGACCGAACGTATGACGCCACGCTGACGTCACTCAAGAGGCACGCTATTGGTCGGGCCGATTCGTGTAATACTATTGGCGAATACGCGGCCGGGGTCGTGAAACCGTGACAACGGTAAGGGCCGGCCAGGCGGCCAACCCTCAAAAGCGAGGGGCCCTCAAACTAGGGAGTGATAGCCATGCTTTCGAGTACCTAGCAATGCTTTTAAGAAAGACTTTACAATTATATGCTGGAAAGATGCGTATAAACGGTTCCTTAGGCATTCCTTAGAAAGTCTGGAATGGATGATCAAGCACTCTACAGAATGCTCAGTCATTCTAAGAATACGCGATTCCACACATTGCCTGTAACATGTACAGTCCTCTGCACACTGCGCGGTAGGTATTCTTTTTTCGACAAAACCTATAATAGCTCAAAGACTATGTTATCAGTCGGTCGGAACTCATTGCACATAGATTCGCCATGCTCCACTCCTTCGATTGGGTGTATCACTGACAAAGTATACGCCTAGTGTTGCAGCAAAATGCAAAAGTTTGTTTTGGGGGCAAATATAAACTTTCGTGTTTCGTTGCCAAACTGGATGGAAAATGTATACCATGATAAGCCCAATCTAAGGTGCGGAGTCTCGCGCGTCTTGCTGTTACGATTTCTGAGTGACAGATAACATAGTATTCGAGTTATTCTCGGTTTTGTCGAAAAAAGAATACCTACCACGCAGTGTGCAGAGGGCTGTACCTATGACAACATGTAAACCTATGTTGAAATTGTTTGTCTTCCGCCTCACGAACACTATAAGACTGTCGAATATAGCAGCGGCGTTTTGCCGGGCATCTACATTGTACTCTGGTCATTGCAGGGGTCGGACGGTGGCGCCTGCATTAATGCTACACACATTTCAAGATGTGGAAGTGCAGAAGGTGCGAGAAACCGGTGTTCTTCGGTAAGTGACGCTTCGTACTGGAATTACGATTAAATTGAATGCGCTGTTCCTTCAGCTCGGCTGTTTTGAACTCTGTTGAAGGTGTTTCGCTCAGAGTGCCTCTGACGTTGCCGCTGTTTGTCTGTGGCACGCCGGCTGAAGGGTGACGCGGCTGGGGCTGATGTTCCGCCGGTACCTACCCACTGCCGCCGGTACCTACCCACTGCCACCGGTACCTACCCACTGCCACCGGTACACGCCGGCTGACCTGGTGTGTTGTGCGCTGCAGCCGAACGGAAGCAGAGCATGGGCTACGACTGGCACCCCGAGTGTCTGCGCTGCGACGAGTGCGGCAAGCGGCTCAACCCGGGCCAGCACGCCGAGGTACGACTGACGGCCGACTCGGTAACTGGGGGGGTGCCCGCCGGGCCAGCACGCAGAGGTACGACTGACGACTCGGTAACCGGGGGGTGGCCGCCGTCCCAGAGGTACGACTGACGACTCGGTAACCGGGGGGTGGCCGCCGTCCCAGAGGTACGACTGACGACTCGGTAACCGGGGGGGGGGGGGTGCCCGCCGTCCCAGAGGTACGACTGACGACTCGGTAACCGGGGGGGTGCCCGCCGTCCCAGAGGTACGACTGACGACTCGGTAACCGGGGGGGTGCCCGCCGTCCCACCCTGCTGGCCGTATCGGCTCCTCCCACCCGGGCTGGGGCGGCACCGTCTCACCAGCTGGTCCCAACACTGCCGAATCGGCTTCGACGCCAACATATTCAGACTCACAGCGGCTCATGTGGTGTACCCTTCTCTTTTCATTAGCTCCTATTAAAGCTTCATGCAAAGGAACATTGACTGTCTGAGCAGCGTTAGGTGTTGGGTGTTGTTTGTCCCGGCTGGGCTGTGGAGTGTGGCGTGCTGTCACGTGCGGCGCCGCCGCTGGGCGCTGACGGTGGCCGCGCCTCCGGCAGCACAAGGGCAGCCCGTACTGCCACGTGCCCTGTTACGGCGCGCTGTTCGGGCCGCACCTGTTCGGCCACGGCACGCACGTGGAGGCGCACGTCAGCTTCGGGCGGCGCGACTCTGCGCCGGAGAGTCCGCGGCAGCCGGACCAGGAGCTGCTGGCGCGCCAGCTGAGGGCCTACAACCAGTACCACGAGAGCAGCCGCACCCAGATACACAGCCGGGAGGTGAGACCGGACCCAGATCCACAGCCGGGAGGTGAGACCGCGGGCCAGATCCACAGCCGGACCCAGATCCACAGCCGGTAGGTGAGACCGGACCCAGATACACAGCCGGGAGGTGAGACCGCGGGCCAGATCCACAGCCGGACCCAGATCCACAGCCGGGAGGTGAGACCGCGGGCCAGATCCACAGCCGGACCCAGATCCACAGCCGGGAGGTGAGACCGGACCCAGATACACAACCGGCAGGTGAGACCGGACCCAGATCCACAGCCGGCAGGTGAGACCGGACCCAGATCCACAGCCGGGAGGTGAGACCCGGGACCCAGATCCACACAGTGTACAGCCGGCCGGCCGGTATACACTGTACAGCCGGCCGGCCGGTATACACTGTACAGCCGTCCGGCCGGTATACCCTGTACAGCCGGCCGGTATGCACTGTACAGCCGGCCGGCCGGTATACCCTGTACAGCCGGCCGGTATACACTGCACAGCCCGCCGGCCGGTATACACTGTACAGCCGGCCGGTATGCACTGTACAGCCGGCCGGTATACACTGTACAGCCGGCCGGCCGGTCCGGTATCATCCCTGCGGTGTCGTTGTCATTGACTCCCTCCCCCCCCCCCCGCCCCCTCTGCAGCGTAACGGGCGTCTCATACTGGACGGCGTGCTCAAACTGTACTGGGGGGTCAACAAACTACTCCAGTTCAAAGAGGACGACGACCAACGACCCATCGTCCGAAAACGCCATTCCCAGTGGATACAGGTGGGACTCGGTGATACTGCGGGACTCCGACACTGGATAATGTGGGATTCTAACACTGAATACCGGTGGGACTCTGTGATACTGTGGGACTCTAACACTGGATACTGTGGGACTCTGTGATACTGTGGGACTCCGACATTGGATAATGTGGGACTCTGTGAGTGGATACTGGTGGGCCAATGGCCCAATGCTCAGTGGGCGGGTGCTGGGTCGGGTGCGTATTATTTAGGCCAGGGTTCATAATGTCCAGGGCACGATGTGTCCAGTGCTCAAAATGGCCAGTGCCTTGAATTGGCCAGTGCTCATATTGTCCAGGATTACATAGTCCAAATATGGCCAACTGGCTGCAGATGGGGTAAATTCAAAGAGGCCAGGGTTCATAATGTCCAGGGCACGATGTGTCCAGTGTTCGAAATGGCCAGGGCTCATAATGTCCAGAGCACGATGTGTCCAGTGTTAGAAATGGCCAGGGTTCATAATGTCCAGGGCACGATGTGTCCAGTGCTCAAAATGGCCAGTGCGTTGAATGGGCCAGAGTTCATGGTGTCCAGGGATTACATAGTCAACCCAACCAAACCTAACCTAACCTAACCTAAGGTAATGCTGTTTGCCTACCGGGGATAAGGAAATAGTTTCTCGCATGAATAGATTGCAAGCAATAGTAAATCAAATATTTTTAGGTTAAGCGGTTATGTATCTGGCTTCAGGCCGAAGCCTGAAGCCAGATACATAACCACTTAACCTAAAAATATTTGATTTACTATTGCCTGTAATCTCTCCTAACTCCTAAGGCATTGCCTTTGGCACTGCACTGCTTCGCATTGAGCTGGTTCCGTGTTTTTTTTTTTACATAATGACGTCACTTTCAGTGGCTATGTAGGTAATCCCTGGACATTATGAACTCTGGCCCATTCAAGGCACTGGCCATTTTGAGCACTGGACACATCGTGCCCTGGACATTATGAACCCTGGCCATTTCTAACACTGGACACATCGTGCCCTGGACATTATGAACCCTGGCCATTTCCAACACTGGACACATCGTGCCCTTGACATTATGAACCCTGGCCTCTTTGAATATACCCTATTTGCAGCCAGTTGGCCGCATTTGGACCGTGCAATCCCTGGACATGATTAACTCTGGCCCATTCAAGGCACTGGCAATTTCGACACTGGGCATATCGTACCCTGGACATTATGAATCCTGGCCAGGATGAATGCTCCCCGCTGGGTCTGACCCGCCCCCCCCCCCCCCGTCACCCTGTCTCAGCCGACGCGCAGTGAGGCGGTGGACTCGGGCTCGGACTCGGAGTCGGGCTCCCGGCCGGCCACGCCAGCACCGTCGCCGGCGCGCGGCCCGCCGCGCAGCCAGAGCGTCACGCCGCACGCGCTCAGTCAGCTGACGTATCCGCCAGTGGACACCGACTCGGGACACGGCACGCAGACGCAGACGGAGACGGACGCCGAGACGGGCGCCGAGGTACGGGCCGACCGCGCGGCGGCACAGACCCGCACAGAGCCACACAGAGATCCACACAGACCCACACAGACCCAGACACAGAGTACAGACCCACATAGACCGGCACAGACCCTCACAGACCCACACAGACCCGCACAGAGCCACACACAGAGTACAGACCCACACAGACCCACACAGACCGGCACAGACCCGCACAGAGCCACACAGAGATCCACACAGACCCACACAGACCCAGACACAGAGTACAGACCCACATAGATCGGCACAGACCCTCACAGACCCACACAGACTGGCACAAACCCAGACACAGAGTACAGACCCACACAGACCCACACAAACCGGCACAGACCCTCACAGACCCACACAGACCCTCACAGACCCACACAGACCCTCACAGACCCACACAGACCCACACAGACCCTCACAGACCCACACAGACCCCGACATAGAGTACAGACCCACACCAAACCCCTACAGACCCTCGCATGACCTGTATGGACCCTGTGTGACCTCTGTGTGACCTCTCTCTGACCTCTGTGTGACCTCTCTCTGACCTCTGTGTGACCTCTCTCTGACCTCTGTGTGACCTCTATCTGACCTCTGTGTGACCTCCCTGTGACCTCTGTGTGAGCTCAATCTGACCGTGACCTCTGTGTGACCTCTGTATGACCCCCCTCTGACCTCTGTGTGACCTGTGACCCCCCTCTGACCGCTGTCAGGTGGAGGTGAACGGCCACCGCGCCGCCGAGGAGGGCGTCGAGAAGGGTCAGCTCGAGTCGGCAGAGGTGGAGAACTCGGACAAGGAGCCGCCGCCGCCGCCGCCCGGCCCGCCGCCGCGGGTCGACTCCTCGCCCACCGACGAGTCGACCACGGAGCCGCCGCTCCGCGCTCCGGCCAAATCGCGCGTCATCCGCCGCCGGCCCGGACGGCGCATGAACAAGGCCAAGGTCAAGGTGAGGTCGTGTCGGGGTCACTCTGGGAACCAGCCGGCCGGGGTGAAGGCGGCTGGTGGCCGGCGCTCGGGAGCTGTGAGCCGTCCCGCACTGTGCCAGGGTCGGTGGGTGGTGTATGGGTGTCAGATTAGTGCCCGGCTCGGCCGGTCTGTCGGCTGCCTGTTTGGGGCGGGAGGCGGCCGGAGCTCAGTGTGGGCGCCGCTCCAGTCGGGGCGGCGGGGACACGGGCAGAGTGGTGGGACACTGACTGCGACCGGACGGCGCCTCCCTACCCTACCCCCCGCGTGTGTCGCCCTGTGGTGGCCGCTGTCCGCCGTGTGCTGATCGCCGCCTGTGCCGCAGCGGCGCTGCTCCATCAACGGACACTACTACAACCGGGAGACGTCTGTGTTCACGCCGCCGCACGGCTCGGCCCTCTCGGTCTGGGTCACCTCGCTGGTCACCTGCCGGGAGATGATCGACATGGTGCTCGACAAGTACCGCGTCGAGGACCGCGCCGACAACTTCGCCCTCTACATCGTCTGGGACTCGGGAGGTGCGCCGCCAGGGCAGGGCACGGGCCGGGGGGAAGGGGGCCGGGTCGGGAGGCGGGGGATCGCCCTGATGTCGGCTGGTGTCGGCTGTCGGCGGCCGACATCCGCCGCCCGGGCTGCGGTCGTGGCTCGTGGGTGCGACCCAACTTATACAGGGTGTCCGGAAATTATTGGCCCCTCCATCAGTTCGCCGCCATAATAAATAAACAAAGAGCCCCCGGGTCATGGTTTATTTACCGATTTATCTCCTGCCCTGTCCTACCCATTCCCTCATCCGCTTTGGTATTCCATAGACCAAGATGTCCAGAGTATCCGCGCTGATGCTGAGCCACACCCTTCACAGGTTCCTCTAAAGTCCGTTTCCTCTGGGACTGCTGGTACAATCTTGCTGAGCTCCTCCTTCATGATTTCCCATTGGTTTTCGATCGGGATTAGGACAGAGGATTCGACTGAGGACAGAGGATTTTGACTTTCTACTTCATTTCAGTCTTTACCATAAGTTCAGCGCGATGATGCTTTGTCAAATAGTTTCTTTCGTCATAGTAGACACCACGTTCAGGTGCGAGTTACGTCTGAAACAGACTCTTTCCGCAGTCAGGAAATCGCATGCGAGATCCTTTTCAAATACATGGAAGCACGCTCGCATCAATCGCATGCACCTCCCGCAAGCGATTGATGCGAGAAGAATTATAATGTATTTGAATAGGCTCTCGCATGCGATTTCCTGAACGCGGAAAGAGTCTGTTTCAGCCTTTACTTCTGCCAAACACTGGCCCCTGGCGCCTCGCAAGTGTCAAGGTCAAGTGACCGGGTTAGGTGACCGGGTTAGGTCATGTGACTAACGGACAGCTGTGGATAGCCTGAGGCACGGTCTTAGCAAATTTCCAACAGTTATTACAGCGCACGGTGATATTATAGCTGGATGAACAAGGGACAAATAATTTCCGGACACCCTGTAGTGCTGTGACGTGCGCGCTGACCGGCGCGCTGACCTGCGCTGACCTGCGCGCTGACCTTGTGCGCCGTGTGCGGCCAGAGCGGCGCCGACTGCGCAGCGACGAGTACCCGCTGCTGACGCGGATAGCCAGCGGACCGTCCGAGGCGGCCGCCCGGCTCTTCGTCATGGACCGCGAGACCACGGCCGAAATCAGTGAGTGGACCCCGGGACCCCCCCCCCCCCCACCACCACCACCACCACAACCACAACCACCACCACCTGTAGAAAAAAAAAACTTTAACTGTACATCTGGCTGCCTAACTGTATATCTGTCTAAATGTGTATCTGTCTTACTGTATCTGTCTGACTGTATAGCTGACTGTGTATCTGCCTGTCTGACTGTATATCTGACTGTGTAATGTATATCTGACTGTGTATCTACCTGTCTGACTGTATATCTGACTGTGTATCTGCCTGTCTGACTGTATATCTGACTGTGTATCTACCTGTCTGACTGTATATCTGACTGTGTATCTACCTGTCTGACTGTATCTGACTGTGTATCTGGCCGTCTGACTGTATATCTCATATCTGACTGTGTATCTGACTGTGTATCTGACCGTCTGACTGTGTATCTGACTGTGTATCTGACCGCCAGGGAGCGACGTGGCCCAGTATATAAACCTGACGGACGTCGAGTGTACGGCCATTCTACAGAAGTACCGCGAGGAGGAGGAGCGGCACATCCAGCACATCAAGGACAAGTGAGTCACCGGGCGGGGAGGGAGCGGCACATCCAAAACCCTTACTTTAGAATCATTACACTTCATTTTCACACAGTATTATCCCAACACACTGATAAGTAAATAGCTGAATTTGGAGCGAAATTGGATCATTTTTTGTCGTTACACGTCACAGGTGCACGTCAAAGAAATGACCAAAAAGCTCTAAAACTTTGATTGTGCGCATGCAGCAAGAAATCAGCGAAGAATTCAGGAGAATTAAGCTTTGTAGCAGTGCGCCACTGTTCTTCAAGGCCTGAGGACGTGCTTGAAATGCTGTCCACATCTGTTCAGGCAGTAGTGAATGCATTATTGCTGCGTTTTGGCCATATGTTTCCATACAGATTTTCCATGATTCGTGCCCGGCCTTGCTATAGACAAGCTTGACTGAGAATTCGATCACCGTTGAGCATTACGGTATTTGTGGATACGTATTTTGCTTCCATATGCTTTTTATGCGTATCGCAATTTATCGTTCGGGTCAAATATAGGCGCTTACCCCCGTGGTGTGGAAAATGTCTTGATTCGGCGTTGAAATCGTACGCTCTTTTTGACGTGCCACCATTGCTGCTAACACAACGGATTCACCTGGAACGTTGTCCACTCACTTCTCATTGCATTGTGAAAGGAAATATCTCACTTACAACATGGAGTTTTGAACTGGAATGGCAGTTTTGTAGCTTGAGCTGAGACTAATTAGCACGAATCAGGAGCTTTTACGCCCCAACGATCACCTTAGGCAAAGATATTTCATTTCTCGTTCTGAAAAGAGTGCCTCGTAGAGGAATGTGGTGCCTTGTAGAAGAATACCAAGAACACAGCCACCTGTCGCAGAGGCTAAGCTCAGCCAATCAGCGTGCAGCTGCTTTTGAACGTCGCAATGTGATTGGTCAACGCGTAATAAGCTTCCGTGCCACCACTATTTAGCCTCTTCCATAATGGATGATCACTTCGAGACATCGTACAAAATTAAGACGAGTTGAATAAAAATTTTAAATTTCATTAATATTCTTTGGGTAAGCTTTACGGTACCTACATGCCTTATAACTTGGCAATTACTTGCCGATCGTGCTGAATCTTGGATTATATCGGTCGACAGGCAGTACATTCTCATGCGTATTGCATACTGGTTGAGGCGCTGCTTTCAATGGTTATGCATAATGGTTGGCGTGCGCACGTGCACCGGCCGCTTCCAGCTGTCGAGAACGGCTGGGCCGATCGTCCTGAATCTTGATACCCCGTTAGAGACCAGTTAGTAGGGTGTTCCACACAGTGTCCGTCCGACACTCTCGACTTGTGCACGTGCAGGGGCTCACTCCAGCGCTCGCTCGTTTTTCGCGCCCAGAGGCTGGTAATTGGTTGGTTTGTTGCCTTTCTGATATCACTGGACATGAACCATAACGGTAAATGAACTGAACAGCACCTGCCATCAGCTGTGATTGTCGTCACTGGCGTGGCGACAGGAGCCGTGTGATCACTGAGCGATATTGGTCGTGTGATCACTGAGCGATATTGACCGGGTGATCACTGAGCGATATTGACCGTGTGATCACTGAGCGATATTGGTCGTGTGATCACTGAGCGATATTGGTCGTGTGATCACTGAGCGATATTGGTCGTGTGATCACTGAGCGATATTGGCCGTGTGATCACTGAGCGATATTGACCGTGTGATCACTGAGCGATATTGACCGTGTGATCACTGAGCGATATTGGTCGTGTGATCACTGAGCGATATTGGCCGTGTGATCACTGAGCGATATTGACCGTGTGATCACTGAGCGACAGGAGCCGTGTGATTACTGAGCGATATTGACCGTGTGATCACTGAGCGATATTGGTCGTGTGATCACTGAGCGACTGGGCCGTGTGATCACTGAGCGATATTGACCGTGTGATCACTGAGCGATATTGGTCGTTTGATCACTGAGCGATATTGGTCGTGTGATCACTGAGCGATATTGGCCGTGTGATCACTGAGCGATATTGACCGTGTGATCACTGAGCGACAGGAGCCGTGTGATCACTGAGCGATATTGACCGTGTGATCACTGAGCGATATTGGTCGTGTGATCACTGAGCGACTGGGCCGTGTGATCACTGAGCGATATTGGTCGTGTGATCACTGAGCGATATTGGTCGTGTGATCACTGAGCGATATTGGTCGTGTGATCACTGAGCGACTGGGCCGTGTGATCACTGAGCGACTGGGCCGAGTGATCACTGAGCGATATTGGTCGTGTGGTCATTGAGCGTTATTGGCCGTGTGATCACCGAGCGACTGGGCCGTGTGATCGCTGAGCGATATTGACCGTGTCATCACTGAATGGTCCCGCGGTCGCGGCCTCCCTCATTGTTAGCCAGACGCGTTCTACTCAATGTCAGCGACCGTGTCTGCGCCCACAGGTTCGCCGAGATGAGAGAGCGCATCAAAGCCAGGATGCGCGATCTCAAGGTCCAGCTGTGAGCTGTCCGTCAGCAGCTTTGGCGGCGGCAGTGGCGGGGCTGCCGCCGGCGCGGCCTCTGCGCTCTCTGTAAGGATGGACCGCCGTGGCCGGGGCAGCGGCGGGCCGGCAGGACACGGCCCGCTGCGCCCTGCCAGAAGCCGCGGCCGCCGCCGCCGCCGCTCAGCCACATTGCACGTGCCATGTCCTTCTGAGCAGCGTCTCAGCCGACTGGGTGAGTATTTCCGCTATGCACACGTGGCTTCCTTTGTTGCGGGCTTCCGTTCAGCGGCAGCCGGCCGGCAGTCGGCGGCGGCTGGCGACTGGTGCGAGTCGACAGGTGCTGTGAGTCGGTGGGTTGAGGCGGCCGGCGGCGGCCCGTCTCAGCTGTATCTTGCCGGGTGCGCTGGGCTGGGCGGGGACGGGCGCGCCGTGGCGCCGGCAGGCTCGGAGGGGGTGCCGCCGCTGCTCCGTGAATGTCACACGGGTCTGCGCGGCCACAGACTGACTTATCCCCGTGGTGCTATGGAACAGACTGTTCTGAGGGCGAGTACGGCAATATCTGCCGCGCTTCAGACGCTGTTCTCCGAACTGTGGGATCTGAGTGGAGTGTCTGGACGCTGCTAGGCTAGCTAATACCGGCGGGCGGGGGGAGTCTCCGAACTGTGGGATCTGAGTGCAGTGTCTCACGCTGCTAGGCTAGCTGATACCGGCGGGGAGTCTGAGGGGTCTCCGAACTGTGGGATCTGAGTTCAGTGTCTCACGCTGCCACGGTGAGGTACCGGTACCGGCTGCAGTGGCTGATGCCGGCTGGTGGGGAGGCGGAGGCGGCCCGGCCGGCCGGCCGGGTCCGTGGTCTCGGTGTATGCTCTGGTCTCGGTGTCCGTTCTCGGTGTCAGCTCCACCAGGGGCCGCGCTGTGGGCAGCGCAGCGGGCCGGCCGTGCCCGATATAGGTGCGTTTACACTTTACCAGTGTGTTGTCGGGTGAGCTGCGCGGCGTCTATGTAATCTCCGCGGTTGGCTGGCGGGCGCCTGTTCCGCCCAGCGGCAACCGTGACTCTCCTACCCTGAATCTGCACAGTGTCTTACATTGTGACCGTGCCATGTGATTGCAGGTTTTTATTATCGTATCATGTCAACCGTGCCGGCTTTTTATAACTCTGTTGTGTGATATTGCCATTGTGGTCAGTTTTTCTGCTTGTATTGGCAGTCGCTGGATATATGGGCAGTCGCTGCACATTTGTCGGATTCTGCCGCCGTGACGCTGTCGCTGGGGACCGTGACTCTGGTCCGGGGACCGTGTCTCGGTGGTCCGGGGACCGTGTCTCGGTGGTCCGGTGACCGTGTCTCGGTGGTCCGGGGACCGTGTCTCGGTGGTCCGGTGACCGTGTCTCGGTGGTCCGGGGACCGTGTCTCGGTGGTCCGGGGACCGTGTCTCGGTGGTCCGGGGACTGTGTCTCGGTGGCCCGGGGACCGTGTCTCGGTGGTCCGGGGACCGTGTCTCGGTGGTCCGGGGACTGTGTCTCGGTGGCCCGGTGACTCGGTCTGTGTGCCGGTCCGGTCCGGACCGCTGTGATCCGGTGACTCGGTCCGCTGTGGCCCGGTGACTCGGTCTGTGTGCCGGTCCGGTCCGGACCGCTGTGGTCCGGTGACTCGGTCCGCTGTGGTCCGGTGACTCGGTCCGCTGTGGTCCGGTGACTCGGTCCGCTGTGGTCCGGTGACTCGGTCCGCTGTGGTCCGGTGACTCGGTCCGCTGTGGTCCGGTGACTCGGTCCGCTGTGGTCCGGTGACTCGGACCGCTGTGATCGGGTGACTCGGACCGCTGTGGTCCGGTGACTCGGTCCGCTGTGGTCCGGTGACTCGGTCCGCTGTGGTCCGGTGACTCGGTCCGCTGTGGTCCGGTGACGCGGTCCGCTGTGGTCCGGTGACTCGGACCGCTGTGGTCTGGTGACTCGGTCCGCCGTGGTCCGGTGACTCGGTCCGCAGTCGGGTCGGGTCGGGGCCGTATTGTGGCACAATGCCGTGATACACAGACGCGTCTGGCCCGCCGGGCCGCCGGGCCGCCGGGCTGGACGCGCCCGCTGCACAGTAGGCCGGCCGGCCGCCAGGAGCGCTAGAAATGCCGAAAAATGAAACGTGCTCAGGGTGCAAAAAATTAATACCCACAGACTCGAAATTGATCATAGGATACGATGCCGTGCCGTGAATAAGTATGAGACCGATGTCACGGCCAATATTCAGCTCCGAACACAGTCTAACTGACGGTTAGGGAATGAAGCGGCTATCTGAACGATTTCGACTAGATTTTGAATTGCTCTTTTCTCATGAATGAACATCTTATTGGTGAAAATAAACGACTGCACATGATGCACACGGTTATTGTGATCATGTTCATAACCAATTTCATTGGGCTCACTCATCTGATTGCACTCTAAATAGTGAGTTTGCAACATGTTGCAGACATCTACATAAGCTTATATTCAATTAGACTTATATAAAAACGTTATTTTTGGCACCTAATTCTGACGGCATAATAAGATTGGGCAAGTGTTGTACTTTCGAACCGTTGTCGATTTTTTTCTGCTTTTCGCTGCTAGTTTAGGAGCTATACTGGCATTTGCTGGGGTATTTTTATACCATCTGGTTGGGAGAGGGGTAGTGAACGTCCTTAGCCTATAACTTGCGAACAAATGGTCGCAGCGAGATGCGCATGGCAGCGATCGAAAGGTCTCAACAAGATGTGTTCGATTAGCATTTAAAACTTGTTTTAACCCGGCATTTGCTGGGGTATTTTCATAACACCACTTGCTGGGGGGGGGGGGGGCCGTCAGACGTCCCCAGCCCATAACTCGAGAACGGTTAGTCGCAGCGGGACAGGCGAGGCGGCAAACGAAAGCTCTAAACAAGACGCATCTGATGAATACTTAAATTTGGTTCTCAGGTCAAACTTGAGGTCAAGGTCAGGTCAAAGGTAAAAATAGGGGTTTTCATTTTGGGCCCCAGAGACCGAACTACCGACAGCAGCGAGCTCAAAATTTCTTGGCATGTGCCCAAAAGATGTAAGAAAAGTCTCATTGTGTCTAAAGCGAATTGGAGCACAGGTCAAGGTCAAGGTCAGGTCACCAAAGGTCACACAAAGTCGAATTTTCAAAATAACATTTAAATACCGTGTGACACATGTTTTTGGGGTAGTTTTGGACGTAGAACACGATGGTGGCAAGAATTTGGAGATTTGACCCCCGCAAAATGGTGAAAAAGTGAAAAAAGGGGTTAAAAATTCGAAATTTTCAAAATTCAAAATTTTGAATTCAAAACATGCTATCTGATGCAGTTTTATCTCAGGATTCCAAAAATGTCTTTTGTTTTGCTCTACGACCCCTATAAGTACCAAAAATTTGAGTTTGAAAAATGAAATTGGATATTTTGTTACTTTTTGCGCCCTCTATAGCAACCAAATATTGAGCTACGGACTTGAAATTTTGCATGCTGATTCTTCTTTTGATGCCCGAGGACAACTTGTCTCATTTTTTTGAAAAATTCAAATTTTTGAAAAAATCAAATTTTTCTCAAAATTTGGTTTGACATTTTGGACCCCTAAAACTCAATATTTTGAAAATCCGAGATAACCATCTTGTAGAAAATTCAATTTTCTATCGTTTGAGCCCTGAAAATTGCAAATTGCTTCATTTATATATCCTACAATAGGCAGGGGAGGGTCGATGCGAAGCCTTATATTCGCGATGGTGCAAAAACGGGGATGCGCATCGCGCTGAACTTTACAATAGCTTCTACAGGGGCATATTGTGATCGTATTCATAACCGAATTCATTGGGATCACTCACTTGATCCTATATATAGTAAGCTTGCAGCATGTTTCAAAAATATCAGAGGACATATT